TGTAGTCTCTGTATATACTTTCCATTTACTAAGAATCCCTGCTCTGTAGTCTCTGTATATACTTTCCATTTTCTAGGAATCTCTACTCTGTAGTCTCTGTATATACTTTCCATTTACTAAGAATCCCTACTCTGTAGTCTCTGTATATACTTTCCATTTACTAAGAATCCCTACTCAGAAGTCTCAGTATATACCTTCCATTTTCTAGGAATCCCTACTCTGAAGTCTCAGTATATACTTTCCATTTTCTAGGAATCTCTACTCTGTAGTCTCTGTATATACTTTCCATTTACTAAGAATCCCTACTCAGAAGTCTCAGTATATACTTTCCATTTTCTAGGAATCCTTACTCTGAAGTCTCTGTATATACTTTCCATTTTCTAGGAATCTCTACTCTGTAGTCTCTGTATATACTTTCCATTTACTAAGAATCCCTACTCAGAAGTCTCAGTATATACTTTCCATTTTCTAGGAATCCCTACTCTGAAGTCTCAATATATACTTTCCATTTTCTAGGAATCTCTACTCTGTAGTCTCTGTATATACTTTCCATTTTCTAGGAATCCCTTCTCTGAAGTCTCAGTATATACTTTCCATTTACTAAGAATCCCTACTCTGTAGTCTCTGTATATACTTTCCATTTACTAAGAATCCCTACTCTAAAGTCTCAGTATATACTTTCCATTTACTAAGAATCCCTACTCTGAAGTCTCAGTATATACTTTCCATTTACTAAGAATCCCTACTCAGAAGTCTCATTATATACTTTCCATTTTCTAGGAATCCCTACTCTGAAGTCTCTGTATATACTTTCCATTTTCTAGGAATCCCTACTCTGAAGTCTCATTATATACTTTCCATTTACTAAGAATCCCTACTCTGAAGTCTCAGTATATACTTTCCTTTTTTCAACCATTAGTTTTTTTTATTTACAGATTCTACCAGGGAGTTTGAAAACTGTCAGTCTCAAGCTCGCTTCAGTTTGTTTGAACGGTGGGCTGTAGAATGAGTCTGCATTTCTCACGGTTCAAATAAAAATTTCTACCTACATTACTTTCTTCAAAGTAGCTGTTTTGATATAGGGATGATCTCATCTCTCTTCTACATCTAGCCCATATCCTGGATGCTTTATAGCCTACTAATGCCAGATATTTCACATTTATTGACCAGATTTTATTCTTTCACCTGCATAATATCTTAAGGGGTTTTTCCAATCATAAATATTCCATCTCCAACTTCAAAGTTAGAATGTTTGTCCAATCCTTTTTGGACATTAGTTTCTAGTTTCAATTATTAATTTCTTTACAGACTTGTAAGCCATAGATGGCCAGAACCCTCCATCCCTGTTTTTTTCTGTTCAAGTGTATTTGACCTCCTGTTCACTTACAGATTCCTTTTTTTTTTTTATCAAAATTTGCAAGTGTTACTACTGGTCTATTTAGAGAAGGATTTTAAAACTGAAGTTTTAGAAATCAATATGATAAAAATAGCTATTTACCTCTAATCGATGTACCTCTTTCTCCTTGCATCCAGTTTTTCTTAATAAAGACGACGTCTCGGACACTAAGTTATATTCTTGTTGACAGGAAAGATTGAAATATTTTATAATGAGAGAGAGGGAATTAATTAAATTTCACATCATATTATTACCTTTCTGTCCAATCAGTAGTAAGTAACAATTTAATTTCTGTTTTAAACATATAGATTTCAGTAAAAAGCCTAATAAGATATTTGAAGGAGTTTTTAGATATTTACCAGTAGTTTTATGATTTTGTGTGAATTAATAAGAAACAATAAAAAAAACTTTTTATTGCAGTATTGAAGATTCCCACCACATATCTATGTAGTTCACATATTTCTTAATTATTTGCAGTTCGCACGATTAAACAGGAAATAATCCATCAACCTTCATACTGTTACTGTTTTTTTCCTTATTGGTTTTGAATTAATTTCTTCTAATATTCTTATCTGTGCTTTCCACATGCAGGAGCAGCTGTCATTATTCCATAATGCAGCAGTAGATGACGTAGTTATTGGTGCTGTAACTCAAGGTTGTCAGCGTCTCAGGTGGGTTCATAATGTAGGACAGTTTTAGTCAAATCTGATTTAAAGTGGCTTAAAGTTTGTAGAAAGATAACTCTGTAATTTGTTGTATGGTCTGATTTTTCAATTACCACAATTTAAACTGTCTGTCAAAGTTTCTTTGAGATCTTTTCAAATAGCAAGCAGTTAACATCAGCTAGTCTGCTGTTGTATTTTATAATTTGTACAGGCCAGCTCACCAATATTTTAGCTATTACGGTATATTGTTCAACGTTTACTCGTATTGAAACTCGTGCTGTTGTACATGTATTTTTAGTAATTGATCATGGGCATTTTAAGTGTGGCCTTTCCTTTCAGGATTATGTATATATTATATTTTTATTAAGGTATCTTGATATTTCTGGTTGCAATGAAGGAGTAACAGATCTGTCTTTGAAGTTTCTTTCAAAATGTTTGCAACTGAAGACTTTGTACATTAACTACTGTGGAAAGGTATTGTATGTTTTACAAGTTTTGTGAATTGGAATAACTGACTTTTATTACTCTTTGCAATTTCTTTTAGTATTTGTAATTTTAAGTGTAAGTATATTTTCTTAACATCATAAATAACATGCAGGAGTTTTTATCATAATTTGCATAAAGAACAGGGATTAAATTTAGATGTGAACCATTTATGACCAGTAATTAGAAGTTACATTAGATTTAATACATAGAAAAACCATGAATTTAAATAATTCAACATTACTTATTAGTTAGTCAACTACTGCATCCATTATCAGAACACTTAATTTCAGACTCAGGGTTATTAATTCTGGATTAATAGATTTTGGATCTTTTACTCCTAAGATTACAGATATTGGATTATCTGCCTTGGCTACTCAGGAAAACCTTGAAGTACTACAAACCCGAGGATGTCCTCAACTTGGTGATGCAGGTTCGTGGTTAATACTTCCTCCTCTGAGAAAGACTAGATGAATAGTAGTTATAGATTGTTTTTGTTTATCTTATTCACTTTGCCTTTTGTATTCATTTCATATATTCACTTTTATACGTGTCTTATTGATATTTCCAATTTAAGACTTTTGTTATTTGTTAGAATTATTAAGTGGATTACATTGGATATTCCAGCAGACTACTGGTTGTGTACACGTATAGACTTGTTTATTAACTGCTTTCATTGCAGAAAGTTAATGATGTGGTTCAGCTCTCCCAGTAGAGAAAGTTTTATCTTTTTCTTATCTTTCAAATCACTGACTTGTTTTGAGCGGTGAGGTCCACATATTGTATCGTACTGTGTAATTTTTATATTTTGCCTGTCGCAACACCGTTTGTAAAGAAGCGACCAAACAAGTTTGGTAATGCTGGTCAATTTATTGTAAAATACAAATGAAACATGAGTAGTAGTTAATTAAATTAATGGTTAATTAATATTGATGGTGCTTCTGTTTAAATTGTTATTTCTATCGTAACATAATGTTCTGTGACAACATGGGACCTATTGGTCCATCTCGGCTGTTCTGTCCTCTAGATTAAACTAAAGCTATTAATAAATAAATTTTAAAAAATCTTAAAGCCAGCCTTTATCATTCATATACTTATCAAGCTTTTTCTGAAACTCACTTAAATTTATTGCCTCCACAAAATCTGAAGGCAACCCATTCCAAAGGCCAACCACCCTGTTAGAAAAATAAAACTGTCTTAGCTGAAGATGACCCCTACCTTGCCAAAATTTATTTTTGTGTCCCCTAGTCCTACTATTCCCATTGTTAAATATAAAAAAGATGATACATCAACACTATCAATTCCCTTTACAATCTTAAACACTTCAATCAGATCCCCTCTAAATCTTCTTTTTTCAAGAGAAAACAATTTGAGAAATTTCAGCCTCTTGTCATATGACAACCCCTCCATCCCAGGCACTATTCTAGCAATCCTTTTCAACAATTCAATGTCCATCTTAAGGTAAGGAGCCCATGACAGAACACACTATCAACAATTCAATGTCCATCTTAAGGTAAGGAGCCCAAGACAGAACACACTATCAACAATTCAATGTCCTTCTTAAGATAAGGAGCCCAAGACAGAACACACTATCAACAATTCAATGTCCTTCTTAAGATAAGGAGCCCAAGACAGAACACACTATCAACAATTCAATGTCCTTCTTAAGGTAAGGAGCCCAAGACAGAACACACTATCAACAATTCAATGTCCTTCTTAAGGTAAGGAGCCCAAGACAGAACACGATATTCCAAATGTGGCCGAACCAGAGACCTATACATGCTTGAGGAAGACCATATACCATTCAAATTGCATTTTGACTTTTGAGTAAATGCTTGAAAGGTATTAAATGTATTTTATCTTATTTATTTTGTTATGAAATAACATGTTAGATCTCATACAGATTATCACCTTTTATGACTGACAATTGACTCACAGAATTATTGAAGACATATTTAGAAAATTACATTATAGTATCTCAGGGTAAATTCCAAAATTCAAAGGACCAATTAGCTTTTTTTAGCTGAAAAACCTATAATCCTGATCTGTAATCCTGTTTTTGCAGGTCTAACAAGTGTTATCCTTCTATGTCGTGGACTTACATCACTCGATATCAGTGGATGCTTTTATGTCACGAATGCTGTTCTCCAAGCTTGTTTGGATGCCGTTAGGCATCGGACTTCAGGCAACAAATTGGTTGTTACTGTTGGAGGTAAAGTGACTTTCAAAATCCAGCACAGCTGTTTAATTACATATTTGTGTGTGTGTATATATCATCCCAGTGAGATACTGAAAGGTTGTGATGTTCATGTACTGTCAGCTAGATCTATTATCTCTTCTGTTATACTGTCTTTATAAATACTTTTTTTTTCTCCTAGCAGAAATATGTTCCTCACAAAAAATTCATTTTCTTATGCTTTACTAACTCATAATCTTTGATGTTTTTATTGGAAATGTTGTGACGAACCTTATAAAATTCACAAGAATGAGATTTATTTCAAACATGTATCCCACCTTCATAAAAGTAAGTAATTGATAACCTTATATCTATAGTTACAACAATTAATGATAAAATTATTTTTTAAATGTACTTTCAGTATTTTTTTTTTCAAATTATCTGTGCTGTTTCTCATTACTTGACAACTGCTAATTCTGTCACGGACAGAGATACAGGAATATAACTCTATGCCTATTGCCACACTTTAAACTACTGATCACTCTTCACAATTACTTCAAGTTTTTTTTTTCTTTTGAATTTAACAATACAAATAAATTCCCAGTTTTAATTTTTGTTATTAGGTGCTTGGTCCAGAGTAATCAGTTTTAAAAACCCCAAATTGGTGGAGACAAAGGGACTGTTGGTAACTTGAATCTCGGGACCCCCAGTTCACACTTTATCTCTTAAGACCAATGCTTTCTATAGTGAGCCATCAGGGATCCATGTTCAAAGCAGACAACAGTTAAACTATTACTTAATCATATTTTCTTTTTTTTGGTGTTAAATCTGTAGATTTTGAATTCTAATAGTCCACTGTTATTTAGAATTAAAATAATCAAAAACGTTTCTGTTTCTGAAAGTTCAAATCTTGGCATACCAGCGTGAATTAATTTTAGTGAAGATTTAAAAAAAAAAGGTTATTGTAACTGAAAGATGGATCAGTCATTTCAAGCTTGTTTGTATGGAGATTGACCATTCGTAAGTTGGTCACTTGGCTAATCAAGTTAAAGTAGTAGGTTACTCTACCAGCTGAAATCTTGGCCAGTTAGCATGGTCAAAGTACTAGATTACCAAAACATTAATCTTAGTTATTATAATCCAGTTAACATGTTCAGACAGTATAATCCAGTTAACATGTTCAGACAGTATAATCTAGTTAACATGCTCAAAGTACTGGATTACTATGACTTTAATCTCGGTCAGTTATTATAATCCAGTTAGCATGTTCAGACAGTATAATCTAGTTAGCATGCTCAAAGTACTGGATTACTATGACTTTAATCTTAGTCAGTTATTATAATCCAGTTAGCATGTTCAGACAGTATAATCTAGTTAGCATGCTCAAAGTACTGGATTACTATGACTTTAATCTCAGTCAGTTATTATAATCCAGTTAGCATGTTCAGACAGTATAATCTAGTAATTGATTAGTGAAGCAAGAGTAATTTGATTTTCAGAATTAAAGTGCAGGGTTATCTGTAAAAGTTTTACAGTAATGTTATTTGTCAATCAGCAACGTAGTAATTCAGGAAGATGAATATCATTAATCAGAAGTATGAAATAGGTACTTTGTACGTATAAACTATTTAAGAACCACAATACTTATGCATAACTGCTGAATAGGCAGTTTTGGATTAAAGAAACTTTAGATTTTTTAATGCTTCATATATGTATACTGATTTACATCCTTGTATTTCTATCAAAAAATATGTGACATGCAATCAATTTAGAGCCAGTAAACTGACCTTGGTCTTCAGTGGCTATCTAATAAATACAACACTCTCACAGTATATTTACTGCAATTTTAAATGAAGCAGTCTCAGTTGTTTTTTTTTTTGTTTTTGTTCTTCCTCTGTTAGGTACAAGTGTTGTTCCAGAAACCCTGAATTTGGACAGCCCACTGCTGGAAGTCTCTCAGTTTAATCTCTGTGCTAACCACTTAAGACCTGACCGTGCTGATTGGATTGGTAAGAGTAGATGATTTGTTATGGTTTTTGTTTTATTTTGTCGTTTGAACGGGTCTGACAAATATTTATAGCTAAAACGTATATTTAGAAGTATGTGTGGACACTTCCAAAAAGCACTCATTAAAATTTCAAATTCAGATATGACACTTTACTTCTTTAGAATGTTTTACCAATTTCTTTTGATTTTGCAAATAAAGTTAGACATTTTATTCCTTTTTTTGCTTCCTTATGTCACATTCCATTACTTCATTCATGTGTAGGTCTCAATCGAGTCAGGTTATATCATCTGGGTTTCTGATGTCTTCATTGGTTTGGACAAGGTGAGTCTGTTCAGTACACTAATTTTCAAGTTAAGTTTTGGGACATGTCTTCTTTACATGCATATGGTGTGGGAGAATTTAGAAAAATGATTTATTCGCTGTTGTGTACAGTGAGTACAAGTGAACCCATATCTCTGCTGTTTGGGATTTTTCACTGTGGGATGTGGATATTGTCGTACTGCTTTCATTCCATAGTACCAATTCATGGATGAATACTGAAGGTGATCTTTCATATCGTGCCCTTTGACCAGCTGTTGTGATGTTATGAGGCTAACAGTGGTTGGGTGTTATTTAAATTGGTACAAAAGTTTTATTTTCCTTCCAAGATTGTGGTTGTACGTTGATAAAATTGGCAGGGGTGTTGCCTTTGACCTGGTCGGTCGTTTCTCCTATTTTCATCTTGCTGTTTTGAATATCCATTATGAATGACCACTACTTCTTCATTTTTTCAAGGAGAAACAGTGTAAATATAAAATAAGGTTTAAGTCAAATTTATACAGATACAAGTTTCAACAATTTCATGTGTCCTCTTCAGTCGAGCATTGGACTGAATTTTAGCTTACATGGTTTTTGTGTATTTACTAACTCTCTACTTTGTTTCCATATCTACCTCATTCTAGGAATTTTAAGCTTTAAATCATTTTAGAGGCAAGATATTGTATTCAAAATGAACATTTGAAGACTAGAATAAACTTTAAAAGGATGTTATAAGTACAGGTAATAGAACTTAGCATGCAGTGACTGGTATTTACATTGTAGTGTCTTTGAAATTTATGGATGCTCTTTATATTACTTGTTTATTATATTTTTAAGCAGTGCTTTATTGATTATTTAAAAGTATTGTTGTTTGTATATTTATTCAAAAACATGATTTTCAGTAGTTTATTTAATGAGAAGAAACTATTATTTTTGTTCTAGAAATAAATGACCTTATAACACCAGAATGTTGTTTTTATTTAAATAGACACTCAATGTTTTGCTTTACGGCTTCTTCGGGAGCATTCACTAAAATACAAACTGAAACTGATTGTTAATTTCAGTTTGTGTTTTAGTAAACACTCCTCAAGAGGCTGTAAAGTGAAATACTGAATGTCTAATTAAATATAAACAATATATTGGTGTTATAAGGTCGTTTATTTCTAGTATTAATATGTCTTTTATACACCAATATGCACTACAGAAATTAAATAATTATTTTGCTTCATTAAAACTTTTTATATTGTACATTGAAAGTACTTAATAAAAAATTATTATTTTGAGAAGAAAAGAAAAACAGCTCTAAGAGAGGAGTTGAAACCTTGGTTGATAACTAGCGAATGTAGGTATCAAAACCTAAGTCAGTTACTTTTTATCAACACTTTTAGGTCAATATCATTCTGATTACGAAGAAGAACTAGAAGATAAACATGAAGAAGGTGAGATTTTATTGTTCGTGAAAAGCGTAATAATTTGTAGAAAAGCTCTGTGAAAATGTAATGGAAAAAATATTTAAAATATTTTGTCTTCTATTATCTCTTGTTAACTTTCATAACCACATACTTATTAGGATAAAATATGTTAGCAAAATAATGATGCGTGTTTAGTCTATGTGTTAATAGTATATGTACATACAATGAACTTCCATTTTCACACATGCATATACAGCCAATCTGGGTTTAATATGCAGCCAATAGGTGAAGTTCAGATTAATAAATCGGGGATTATTTTCAGGTGCCGACGGCGGCGAGTATCATCAGATAATGGATGAATTTATGGACAAATCAGTTGACAGTGATGATGATGATGATTCTTTGCTGTGAGATAAAAACAATGTGATCTGCCTAATTGATGTAAACATATCCAACATCTCCACATTAGACGTTTGTTGCTACACGGATGGAGTAACTCATCGTGCTTACATTGTTGGTAATGGCTACATAGTCTGAAGATAAAACATGATTGACATGTCGTTAAAAATTGGAGAAGAAAGTTGTATTCGTGGAATGAGAAGTTTGAAGTGTACATTTTGCTTAATGATAACATCGTGTATATATGGTATATGTAACGTCAAAAAAGTACTAATTTTCCCTGATTTATGTTTATGTAAAAAATGAAATGCATGAAAGTAAGGTTTTTCTTTGTTACTTTTAAATGTGCTTTTAAGTATAGTATCTGTTATATTAGAAGCAAATAAGCCTAATTTAATCATTTTACTAAAAGCAGGAGCACTGCTCTAGAATATAATTTAGTGATTACTTAATTAAAAGTTCTTTACAGAAGAAGTTAACTTAGCTTTTAGCATAAAACTATCTTAAAAACAAAACAGGAAAGATGAGTTTTACTTTAATGTCCAGCTTGATTTGCTTGAATAAGTCGGTCATAAAAGTGAAACATATCTCTGTGATAAAAAGTTTGAATATTAATAGCTTTTAAAATAAGGTTTGTTAGGTCTGTTTGTGAAAAATCTTATAAATTAGTGACATTCAGTTTATTGGTAACTATTCATAACGTTTTTACTTTTTTAAAAAAGTTAAATTTACCCATGATTAAAAATAACCCAAGGAACGTCTTGTGGTGATTGATATGAAGTGCCACCTACTTTATCGTAGATTTGAACTTTGGACATTGTACTTAAAATCCAGTCCATTTTGTTTAGGGTTGGGTTTCTGTTTCATTATGTTAATACATTGCGTGTTTGAGATAAAATATATTGTAAAAATGTTTTCTGCACTTGAGAGTTTATATTAATTGTTTAACATTTACTTTGATTTCCAACACCCTAAAACAGTAGCTGCTTTCCTTAATATGTTTACTTTTTAGTGGGAAAGCATACAAACATGTTTAGTGAACATAGAAGAACATAATATTGTGCGTAGCAGTTAGTGAAAAACCACAATAAATGGCTTAAACTGTTAGAAGTCTTCATATTGGAGAAACCAGTTTCGGGCATGTGAATACATTAAAACTAGTTTCTCCAATCTCAAGACTTCTGACAGTTTGTTAGTTATCTACTAGAATGTTTGTTTTCTGTTACTGTGCAATAGTACATGTTCTTGGGTCTTTTGTTTGTTAACTGGTAATTTTGTTGGTACCAGAACCTTAATAATGAAGAACGAATCCTTCATTCTTACAACGGTTATCAAAATATCATCGTTGAAATTGTTTTCTTAAAAAACACAGTTGTACTTAAATTAAAACAAACCATCACTTTGTATTATTTACATCTGGCTTTTTATTTTTTCTGATACCTTTAAATTTTTTTTTTTTAAATACAAGTAACTTAAGCTATCTGATTGTACTTAGTAAATTTTCCAAGCAATCAAACTTGATAATAGACTGTACTTGTAATTTTTGGCAGTGATATTAATTAGTGATTTAGTTTTTGCTTTTGTAAAAATTAATTAAGTTTTTAGGAAATCAGCCATTAAAGAATAATTATCTATAAAGAGTTAAACATTTACAAAAACAATTGGTTTATCATGTTTAGTTTCATTAAGCACGTTAAAGTCATATCATGAGTTATAACGAACACAGCCATGCCTGCCATCATCTGAGTCAGCTGATAATGTGAAACGTGATATGCCAGATGGTAAAGTGTGATCACTAATGTACGATACAATCCAACAAATCCAATAATATGCAACATAATACGATAGTTGAAATCTTCTAGCAAACTGTGGCTCCATACGCTCTTAACGATGTCCAGTAGTAATAAATTTGATTCCTTTTTTTTTGTACTGTTGTAACTCAATGTTAATTAACCAGATGCTACTCAATCTATAAAAGCATATACCTGAAGTTTACATACACATGTCTTTTATGATATACTGCGATATACAAAAGTTTGCAATATTTTGGGTGTGCAGAATTAAAGATTTATTTTTAAACAACATACAAAACATATGATGAAATATAGTTGAATGGACGGCAACTGCCTGTTGTATAAACACGAGTATAGAGGACAACGTTTCGAAAGTCTTTCGTCTTCAGGCGGAAGGCTTTCGAAACGTCATCCTCTACACATGTGTTTCAACAACAGGCAGTTGCCGTCCATTCAAATTAATTTCCTCGTGAATATTCTACCTAAGCAATCCATCAAAGAATAGAAAACACATGTTTTCTGCTAATTGTTATAGCAGATCTGTTATCAGTAGTTTAAACGTGAAACACTAATGGAATTTAAGGCATATAACAAAAACAGTTCTTAAAGAATCAAACATTTCTAGTTGGTATAAGCAAAAGAATATTTAAATGTGATTTCTTCTAATTTTAGAATATGTTATTTAAAATGTTTTCACGATATAGAATATTTCCAATAAAACTAGTAACAGTATTGGTATTTTTTTATTTATTTTTCAGTTAATTATGAGATATATGTGCATGTTTTCATGAAGGAAAATGAAAACAAAAAATGAATTTCTTCTTAAAAAAAAAATCTGTTGTAGAGAGGTTTATGTATTGAAGTAGAGACAGTACATTCCCCCTGATTCAAAATAACATGTCAGTTATATAATAAAAGTGAATAGAGGTTAAACTTGAAAAAAAAATCAATTTTTTAAATGTTTTATTATTCAAGTTTTATTTTTAAGTCCTACTAGACAGCCATGTGTTACACAACATTAATTCTTCAGCATGATTTTTTTATAATTTTATTAGTTTTATATTAATGTAGTTGAAAGTATAAATTTATTTATTTCGATTTGCAAAATTAGTACAATGAAGTATCATAAGAAGTCGTATATATCATAGTATCTTGAGTATATAGTTGCTTGAAATGTATACTTGTATGTATTTCCTACTATGACCTGGCCATTTAACTAGTGTTACCAGATATTCTTTCCTGAAAAAAATGGGATTATCTTAGTTTTAAACATATTTCTTTGTTCTTGGTGAAAAAATTAAAATTTTTAGGTTATTCTAGTTTTGCTATATTTCAAGATAAATGTTTGAAAGCTGTAGTTTGCCATAGCACGTGAAACACATCTTTAACTTTTATATCTTCTAGAAAAACACAGTAATAATGTGTATATCCTCCTCCTCATATAGAAAGCTTGCTTTTACAAACCAATCAGAGTATCTCAAAATAACTGAGGACGTAGCTAGCAAATCTGAAATCTGCTATGAACTGGAAAATATTTTTCTAGCTACTGAATTGCATGGTTGTATACTGTAAAAAATAATTACAACTTTTTTCAGAGTTTTACTGCACTAATAT